AATAGCAAAGATGGGGCGCCTGGGTGGCTCAGTTGGTTGAGCGACTGCCTTCGGCTTGGGTCATGATCCTGGAGTCCCGGGATCGAGTCCCACATCGGGCTCCCAGCTCAGCGGGGAGTCTGCTTCTCCCTCTGACCCTCTTCCCTCTCGTGCTTTCTATCTCTCATTCTCTCTCTCTCAAATAAATAAATAAAATCTTTAAAAAAAAAAAAAGAATAGCAAAGATGGCAAAGACTGATAATACTAAATATTAGCTAGGTTGAGGAAATGGGCATTCTCACTATTGGTAGGTATGTCAGGCGGCTCCCTTCAAAGAGCCATCACACCCTCGGGGCATTGAGCACGATCTTAGCTATCCCTTCATGTATTTTTCAGAATTTTGTTAAAAGTAAATACTACTCTTATGATAGAAAAAAAAATTAAGAGAAAAATTGGAACATGGAGAAAAAGGAAGAAAAATGATAGAGATTAACATTATTAGCATATAAACTCCTGAAGATCAAGATCAAGATCCCCATAAGGTTATTTGAAAACTCAAATATCATGCAAAGTTTCTATCAGCTTAAGGCATCACTATAATTAAGGACTGCTTCTTTCCTGTTCTGTAATTTTAAGTATTTTGCATCATGTATGAGTACTCAATATGCACTGTCTATTCTTGAGGAAAGTAGGAATTCACTATAGTTGAGTAAACAAGTGATGTAAACAATGAGTAAATAATATAATCCTAATCTGTAACTCAGAGAAAGGTTGGAAAGAATTAGCACTTGACAGCCCACACACCATAATTTAATATCCTAAGGAAATGCACTAAATAATTTTGGCAAATTCACAAAATACTGCATTCTTTTTTTCACTACTATCTTGTTCCTTATAAAATAAAAAATGTTAAAAGTCTTTAAAGTTGACTACTAAAAATTAGTTGGGTTACTATACAAATGGATCTAGAAAACAAAGTGCAAAATCTGAAACCTGTGCATTGGACTGTTCCACCGTTACAAAACCTCAAGGTCAAATGCTCACCCTTCCCATGACCACTGAGCTGCAGTATGAGCCACAGGCTGGGTCAAGCACAGTGAAGAATACAAGAAGAAAATATACAAAGATGCTCCCAAGAGTACATGTTGTTCTTCAGGGATTGTTTCCCATAGTATCTTAATGTTCTCCATCCGCCCCTGGTTGTGAATTTTTGTGCATTAGGCATGATTCCCAAAAACACTTAAGTAAGAAGCTGCCCCCCCCAAAAATTCTGCAATGTACTATATAGAAGGCTAAGATTCAAAAGATGTGAGTGTTCCTCACTCCGATCACATTCAACCGACAGAGACCTTTAAAGTGCTCAGAATATTAACTAGTCTAATTAATGTTTATTATCACCTTCTCGTGGCCCAAAAAACTACGGGCCTACACACAAGAAGTAAAAGACAAAGACAGTCATGCCTGAGTCAGTTGAAAAGCACGTATGCAACACCCACTGTTCACGAAGTGAAGAGCTTATGAATTAATGAATGAGATAAAAAGAGAATGCCCATGCTTGATTAGCCATATTACTGCTATGTACCTTTAGGAGGGAGAGGGACAATTCCATGGATGCCAACAATGGAATGCTCCTGACCTATATGTTACTCAAAAGAAAGTAGGAGGACTGAAATCTGTGGATTAAGAGATTAAACAAAATTGCAGAAGGGATAAAGGTAACACAAGAATGATTCAGGGGTGAGTGATTTTTTTTCCTACTTGATAATGTTATTTCAACACCCACCTGCTATTCAGTAGTACCGTGGAAACTTGAATATAATGTATGGCTCACCAAAGACTGGAATTCAGAAATTAAGTGTCTAACATGCTAAGTGATATGACTTCATTATAAGATAATCATTAAGGCAATAGTTGCAAGTGTAAGTCTAAAGCCTTATTGAATGTGAGATTGCTTTTGGAACCCTGGACTTTCAGAGCTGGAGCGAATCTTACCGATCATCTGTCTGACCTATTCCTATTTCAGGAGGAGCTCGAGGCATTCTACTCAACATACATCATCTCATTAAACTCATTCATTTATTCAACAGATAAGTGAGTGCCTCTTTATTGACCAGTCTCTAACTACTCTAAGTGCTAGACATGCGGTAGTAAACAAAATAGACAAAGTCCAGGACCTCATGAAGCTTTTATTCTAAGTCGGGGTGACTAAGCAAAATAAGTAAGTAAAATTGTGGTACGTTGAACTGAGGTAATGCTAGGAAAAAAAACAAAGCAGCGGAGGACACTATGAAATACCTTGAGGAGAAGTTGGAAATTGTAGAAATTCTAAAAAGGGAGGCTTCAATTTACTCACTTTACTTACTTTTAAGGACAGAGCCAAAAATACGTGAGAATGCTGGCCATGCAGATGTCCAGGGAAGATTATTCCAAGCAAAAAGAGTAGCAAGTGCAGAGACCCTGAGTCGGGGCATGCCCAGCCCATCCATTGAACACCAAGAAGAGTAGTGTTGCTGGAGGGGAAGCAGGGTGAAGTCAGAGGCGAAAGCAGGGAAGATCCTGTAGGGCCTTGGAGATTAAGGCCTTGGAGATCATGGCCCTTTTATTTTAAGTAAAATGCAAAGCCATTGGAGAGCTCAAGCCTAAGAGTGACATGATCAGATTTATGTTCTAGCAGTCATCCTGCTGCTGTGATGAAAATATACAGAAGTGGGTCAAGGGCGGAAGCTTTAGCAATAGAAAGCATGGTAGCCATTGCTGTGGGGTAAAACTGCTGAATCCTGTATATATTTTAAAGGTGAGCTGGCAGGATTTGTTACTGGACCAAATGGGGAGTATGCAAGATGGGAGAAAAGGATGAGTCCAAGGTTTTGGCTCAGGCAGACAGAGGAATGGAGCTGCCATTGAGTGAGAGGAGAGAGACCATAGGATGCCCCGTATGAGATGCACATTGCACATCCAAATGAACAACCAGGCAGGCCATGAGGTAGGTTCTCAGAACTACTCCCTCAGGTTATTAAACCTGGAGAATAGATGAGATCACCTAACCGATGAGTATAGATAGAGAAGTCCAAGGACAGAGCGCCAACATTCAGATCAGAAGGAAGAGAAGCCAACAAGATGGATGAAGAAGGAGTGACAATAAAGCAGGATTAAAAACCAGCGTGTCCTGGGAGCCAAGGGGCAAAGTAGTCAAATGCATCAAATGTTGCTGTCAGGTCAGGAAAAGAAGGACAGAGAGGCGGCCAGTGGGCTGAGTGATGTTGGAGGTCATTGAGGATCTTGAAGAGTGCAGTTTCAGCGGGGCCATGAGGGTGAGGACAGGATAGGAGTGAGTCCAAGACAGAAGAGAGAAGAGAAATGGGGACACTGTTCTTCCAAGGAGGTTTGCTCTGAAGGGAAAGAGATAAATGGGAAAGTAGCTGCAAAGTGTCAGTAGATGGGCAAGATGGGTGTCATTATCACCATGTGACTTGATGATCGAAACGCCTCAATGGATAGAAACAAATTGACCAAGTTACAAAATTTGTACATGGTGAAAGCCAGTTATTATGATCCCAGAGCTCATCTTCCTAACCTACACTCCACAGCAAAGGGATGAATGAAAGCAAGTCATTCACATATCAGTCGATGGGAACCAGCACCAGCCTACACCAAGCACAGCCAAAGTAAAGTTGTGAATGCTTCCAGAGAACAAGCTATTTACAATTTCCTATGTGCTACCTCTCACATCTAGAGCCTTTTCATGTTATTTTAACTGTAATTCTAAGAGGGAGAAAATGAGTTATAATTTTACTACAAATGTTCACTTCACATTGGTGAGAGTTGCTGCCAGGCTTACCCTTGCAGGGAAGCCCAAACTTCTCAGCTGGCAAGGATATTTGGTCATCTACTGCTTTGTGGCGAGTTTTGCAGAGCTTGGGGTGCCTGGGTGGCTCAGTCATTAAGCGTCTGCCTTCGGCTCAGGTCATGATCCCAGGGTCCTGGGATCGAGCCCCACATTAGGCTCCCTTTCCACAGGAAGTCTGCTTCTCCCGCTCCGTACCCCCTGCTTGTGTTCCCTCTCTGGCTGTGTCTCTCTCTGCCAAAAAAATTAAAAATATATATATATTTAAAATAAAAAAAAGTTTTGCAGACTTTTTTATTTTATATTCTTCTTATTTTTATTTATTTTTAAAAGATTTTTAAAATGTATTTGAGAGACAGAGCACAAGCAGGGTGAGCGGAAAGCAGAGGGAGAGGGAGAAGCAAGGCTCCCCACTGAGCAGGGAGCGCCTCGAGGGGCTCCATCCCAGGACCCTGGGATCATGACCTGAGGCCAAGGCAGACACTTAACCCACTGAGCCACCCAGGCGCCCCTACTCTTATTTTTAAGTGAGTTCTGAATTGGAACCAAGAGTTCTGCCCTTATTTCTGTACCTAATGAGCTGGGTGACCAGTGGGCTTCACTCATTCTTCAAAGGTGACCAAGTCCTCACCTGTGAAACAAGACAACTAGACAAGTTTGTCCCACTCTAAAACTATAGCGTTCTGTCGGTGTATTTTGAAATTCCTTGACTCATTGGAATCAAGGACTGTGACCTTCAAGCTGAAAGCCCCGGGGCACAGAGCGCCTGGTGGCCCTCAAAAAACGTGTGGGTCAACTGATGTGTGTGGTCTGGAATGCGGACACTCAATTAATATACTTTGTTGCATATGCATTTTCCTTTTCATAATCAACACATCTTGACGTGATCATTCTGCTATGTTTAAAATAAAAAGCAATGTGCTCCTTGTCAGTGTCGTCCCTTCCGGAAACCAATCTCTTGGGACATCACTGATCACAGCCTCTCCCTCCCCATCTGCCACATTCCTAACTAGCCAGAAAAGCATTATAAACTCAGCAACTTCAACGTTTAAAGAACGCCTTTAAAAATCACTTTGAATGTTTCGAGCAACAGTGTCCAGCAACCAAAGGAGTGAGAGGAGTGAGGAGCCCCTGTTGGGACTCGCCCGGCTATCTGCCCCCCACATGGATCACCCACTAGGGGACCCCGCCGGCCCCTCGAGTCCCCGCACCCTCCGCCGCCGCGCAGCCTCCCAGAGCCAGAGCCCAGGACCCCACGCCAGGACGGAGGAGGCCCGGCCGGTACCTGGCGGGTAATACCGGAGCAGGAGGCTCTTAAGCTTCATTTTCTCCTTCCCAGGCCCCCGGTCAACCCTCTTCGTAGCCATGGAAACGGCCAAACAGCTGCGGGGCTTCGGCGCGCATGCGCGAGCTTCCAGGGCGCGGAGCTGGGCGTGCAGGCTTCCGGGCTGCGGTCTGCGGCGCGGGCGACCCGGGGAGGGGTGGGGGGCGTCGGCCCGGCGAGGCGCGGCCAGGGAACACGCCCTGCCCCTGCCGGCGCCCACCCCTGCCTGCTTGTTCCCAGGGGCGGACGGGGGCTCCAGGGCGCGTCGCTGAAGAGAGCGTTGCCACCCTCGCTCCTTCTGCACCGTCGGTGCCTGGGCCGGGCAGGGACGGGGTGGCGGGGGCCTCGCGTCCCCAATCAGGGTGACCTCACAAGGGGCGAGGCGCGGCCGGGGAGGGCGAGGTGCGGGCCGCTCCCACTGTGGCCCATTGAGTTCCCAAGGAGGAGAGACGGGAGAAAAATCCCTTCCGGGTCACCATTCCCTGCCTCTCCTCCAGCCCTGTCCCTGTCCCCACAAAAGAATTAGGACCACAACGTAAGAGGCTACATTTCCTGACGCTGTGCGGTACGCTGCGCTTGGCGCCTTATACACCTGTAGCTGTAGAGACTAACAGAGGTTTGAGATGTGCACCATTTCTTCCCGCCCCCTCTCACGGATGGGACAACCCAGAATCAGAAAAAGTGAGACAACCCTCCTCTTCCCAGCTAGCGAGCCGCGGAGGCGGGATGGGAAGGCAGCTGTGTCAGAAGCCTGTCACCTGGAGCCCACACGGTACTGTCCACCCAGGGTTTAAGGCTTTCCGGACATTTTTGTGGCCTGTTCGTTTTCTTGCCAGAATCGGTTCTTTGCCTGCCAAGTCCAGTTCCCGTGAAGAAGACTGGCCGGCCGGGAAGAATCAGTGGGGCCAGACTGTCCATTTCCTTTAAGGACTTTGGCCTAAATTCCAAAGTCGGAATTTCCCCAAAGGTAAGCGCTTCCTCTGTGGTCTTCACAACTGTGGGTCACGTCCATTCATCGCTTCCATGCCCCTGTACCTAAAAGTTTTCCTTGAGTTCTTACAATTTCTCCAAATTGACTCACTTATTTTACCTCACGTTTTTAAATGCAAACTTGAAAGAAAATTATTGTTAATCCTGTAAATTAGAATTTTACCCAATTTTTGATGAGGAGCAGCAGGTAACTGTAAAAATAAACATGATTTTTAAAATGCTATTGAATGAACCTACACTATTGCCTACCAGAGACTATGAACCAAAGGCCTTCCCTTTCTTACAAAAAAAAAAAAAAAAGTAGGAAAAATCAACTATTTGAAATTTTCAAGACAGCCTAGCACCCAACTGAGCCTTTCTACTTCATGTACTCAGAAGTTTGGAGAAATCACTGAAATGGGAGAGCCTCTGCTATGGTGTGAAACAATTAAGCCTAATACAAATGGGAAGACATAAAAATCATAGCCTCCCACGCTTGGGAAACAGAAAAACAGACGAAATCCAAGATTCCTTCTAGCTCAGTCTCCCCTAATCATTAAGACTCTGGAAGAGGTTTAAGTGGGGAAGGGCAAAGAGGTCATCTATAGAAATAAGGACGTCTTGGGGCTCCTGAGTGGCTCAGTCAGTTAAGTGTTGGACTCTTGGTTTCCCCTCAGGTCATGATCTCCGGGTCATGCATAATCTCGGGGTCATGGGATCGAGCCCCACCTTGGGCTCCTGCTCATCGTGAAGTAGGCTTGATATTCTCTCCCTCTCCTTCTGCCCCTCCCTCAGCTCTCTCTCTCTCTCTCTCAAATAAAATAATAAAATCTTAAAAAAAAGAAAGAAGGAAGTCTTTAGTAGATTTTGTTCACCCATTTACTGTTTATGCTTGTGACATTTTAAATGAGGCCTTTGAAAGAATAGTAACTTTTCAATGGAGAAATCCAGTAGACACCATTTAACCATTGGGATCGAAGTTTACATCCCCAGTGTAGGGACAAACTGACATTCATACACCTCCTAATGCAATCCAATGACAAGAACACAGCAATTCTCTGGAATTCCTGCCTGCAAAGCATTACCTGTCTCTAATCATGAGGAAACATGAGGACAACCCAAATTAAAGAAATTGTACAAAATAACTGTCAACGTCAAGAAAAAAAAAAAAAACAATGAAAACTGCTTCAGATTAAAGGACACTAAAGACATAGAACAATTAAATGCACTGAGTGATCCTGGGTCCTGAACCAGGAAGAAAATAAGCTGTAAAGGACATGATTGGGACAATTGGATGAGACATTGTGGTTTAGATTATATTGATATTATATCAATATTAAGTTTCCCGATTTTGATCATTGCACTGTGGTTATATAAGACAATGTCCTTGTTCTTAGAAAAAAATACACTGATTTATTTAGAGATAAAGGGGTATTTTATCTGCAATCAACTCTCAAATGGTTTTGAAAATTTTTGTTTATGTGTAGGTGTGTGTGTGTGCATGCACGTGCATGTGTGTGTTTGGATACGTGGATGAATAAGAAACAATAAAGCCACTGAGAAAAAAAAATGTTGAATCCAGCTAAGCAAAGGGCTCCTTTTGAGAAGTTCCTTGTCCTATTCTTGCAACTTCTCCAAAAGTTTGAAATTATTACAAAATAAAAAGTGGCCTTTGTTTTCCACAGAACAAGCCAGGCTTCAGAATGTTCCAGGATATAGATAACAACCACAGAACCATCTGGCTCCACTTTTGTTAAGAGAGCTCCAAGTTCAAGTTCACTCCCTGCTTCACCCCTAATTTCACCTACCCCTTCCTCTAGTTATGAGACCAAGAGCCTCCACCACTGTTACCTATCTATCCGCCACCACTCCTTTCATTTCCAGGAGTTCCTGAACTTCCTAAGTGGCTCTTGTCTTTCTGTTCCAGGTAAAGGATTTCTCCTACTCCCTTGAACCAAACTTTAACAGGTTGTCCTTTTGCTTATTAAAAAAAGAATTCCAGCTCTGCAGCTTTTGACATCCTTCCCTTGGCTCAAAGAGTTTAAGCCAAGTTCTCCCACATAAGTTAGAGAACTGCCTCACCACCTCCACGTCACATCCAGAGCCCTCTTTACAGACTCTGGGGCACAGGTCCTTGGTGTTGAAGTCCCATCTTCCCACAGCCCATGCCCACCAGGGGTCAGCAGCCCTCACCTCTGTCTTAAATTGAGAGTCATTTATCCAGATGTGGAAGCACCCTGAGTGTCCCAAAGTTCTCTCACAGTTTCTCCCTAACACCTAGATACTCTTTGCTGATAGGATTCCTAGTGTACTGACTTGACAGCCCAGAATCCTGTCACAAGTACCCAATGTAAGTCCCCCCACCCCCCTTTTTGGGAAGCAGTAGGCTTGTATGCAAATGAAGTGGTGATCCAAAGAGAAGCAAGCGAAGTTCATGAGTGTGGGCAGATTTCTCTTTTGGCCTTGGCTTACATTGAGGTGAAAGCTATGCTTAATTGACTCAGCATTTACTCATTCCTGGAAGGTGCTGCATGACTCTCTCAACCTGAGTAAATGTCTATTTCATGCTAACTTACCCCCAGTGCAGAGCCATTAGCCATAAATGATGTACAGAAATCTACAAAAACAAAACTCCTACATTGCCCAGGTGTTGGGTGCTCATCTCAGTGTCTGGCAGACTTGGTATGAGTTCCTCACAGGACTACTTTAGAGACCTTTCTTAAAGTTGTATCATACTTTTTCATCAATTCCTGCCATTCTGTGTTGATTTGACCATTGACCCACTAGAGGAATAATCGGCATTCATAATGGATTTGTATATATAAAAGTAACATTTGACTCTGGGTTTCTTCCTGCTGACACCTGCCTTGAACAACCAGAAACTTAAAAAAAAAAAAAAAATTAGTAGCATTAACTTTACTCCCCAAACTAATTCTGTCTGGTGGATTGAAGCCACACTGGGTTTCCATTCTCAGTGTGTCCCTGGACCAGCAGCATCAGTCTCACCTGGGAACTTGCTAGAAATGTAAATTCTTGCCCCACCCTACCGCCTACAGAATCAGAAATGCTGGTAGCGAATACCCAACAATCCATGTTTGAACAAGTTTTCTGGTGATTCTGGTGAACAATAAAGTTTGAAAACCACTCAGTATATATGGTATAATATGTTACAATGGCTTGGCCAAGACTGAGTGAAGGTGGGCACTCTCCCCCTACCATCAGGCCTTTTATGTATTCTGAAGTCTTCCCTGATCATCAGGGACAGTAAGGTGCTCACTCAGTCATATCCGAGGATGTGAAGAGAACCCAGAAACAGTGTGGGAAGAAACTGGAATTCTCTACATAATTGGGTTTCGGAGTCTCCAATGCGCTGAGGGACGCCAGTGGATATCAGAGTGTGAAGGAAGGCTGGGGGTGGAGGAATGTCTACAAGTGGGAGAGGGAAGGAAGGAGGGAAAGAAGGACCGAGGGAGGGAGGCAGGAGTCAGCCTGGAGGATCTGGCTCAGCACTGAGGTGAGACCAATGGGCAGGAATGCAGTTCCAGCAGGACATGGTGGTTCCCATTTGACCCAGCTCCTCCTGGAAAGAGCCATGGCATCAATGGGAGACTATAATCACTAGTTTTGGGGGCACCCATTGAAAGCAGTACGTAGAAAAGAGAGGTACAGTTGCCTCCTGGAAAGCAGGTACAGAGAATGAGATCTGAATGTTCAGAGACCGGCAGGAGAGGTCAGCTGTGCCTCCCAGGGCGTGGGATCCCAGTACAGCAACCCCAGAGGAGCTGCATCCGGGCTTTGGAAACTTCTTCCCATTTCTGCCTCCACATCACTGAAGGACCTGTGGAGTACCTGATCTCATCTGGGACCAGAAAACCAGTGGCGCCAGGGGCCACTAATTGATTCACTAAGTATATATAGAGAGGGCCTACCAGTGCTAGGCATGTTTCAGGTACAAAGGATCTAATTCTGAAAACAGTAATTTGGGGGAAGTCATTCCTAGAAAGGATCAAATTTCAGGTGGGTTTGAAACGATTGTGTTTATGGAGTGGGGGGCATGTCCCTAAGTAGGACTGCATTTATGATCAATGAGGGACTGCTCCTGGGACAAGCAGGCCACATGAACAGGGCTGGTCCACAGTAGCTTCTGCCACTAAGAGCAGCACGCCTGACCTGAGACCTCGCTCTGCCACCTACCAGACGTGTGCTCTTAGGCAAGATCCCTAACCCCTAAGGCTTCAGTTTCCTCATCAGAAAGATAAGAATGATCCCAGCCTCAAGTTAATGGGGTTGTTATCTCTAAGTCTGGCTTGTTCAGAAACACTCTGTAAGTATCAAGGTTGGTGATGACAGTGATAAGCATTTATTTTCCCAAGGTTGTTTGTTTGAAATTGGGGAAGGGTGTGTGCGTATGGCTCCCATTCAAATTGATAATCTAGATCAACAATTACTCTGATAACCCCATACAGGTAATTTGGAGTCCTTTGTATGATACCTGACAGTAGATACACTTTTCTAGTTATGTTTGTATTAATATAATTAGTATAAATATTGAAACGAGTTTGCATTCCTTAAGACATAACTACTTTGTCTGTAGATCCAAATAGACTTGTCTTCTTAAACAAATGGCCTGTGAGGACTTGGAAGGGGGAAGAGGGTTCTAGATCTTAACAACTCTAGAGATTGTCCAGAGAAGAATAAAGGTGTGTAAGGGACTTGAGAATGTTTGAACGAGGGGAGTTGCCATGGGCATCACACCACCTTCCGTGCCTGGCACACAGTGGGTCCTCCATTAGTGTTTGATCCTCAAGAATTTGGAGGATCCCCATTTGGAAGAGGAAGTAACTGATTATGTGCAGGTAGAGGGCAGGGTTGAGAGAGCCGGATCCCCAGAGACAGATTTCAGCTCAACGCAAAGAACTTTGTCCCCGTGTGTCCAGTAATGGGCTAGGCTGTCTCAAAAAGTACTGAGGATTTCCCAGCACGGGAAGTGTTTTAGCTGAAGCAGTTTCACCAGCTGCCAGGATGACTGCAGAACACAGTATTAATTGGATGAAAGCCAAAACTAGATAAGAGGTCTAATTTCCCTTTTGATGCTGTAGTTCCTTGATTTTATACTGCCTGTGTGTTTTCACAAGACAGCAGGTGCGGGCAGGTGAATGACGGTGGACTGGGAGTTGGAAGTTCCAATCCCGGCCTTCCCATCAGTTACCTTTGAGCAAGTCACTTGTGCTCACCTGGAGTTCCTCATCTGCAAATCATCTTTCATTCCGTTTGGCTCCAGTATAACATGGCCAACTTATTCAGGCTCTGGGCTTCCATTCTGTCATTCCTTCCACCTGATAGGCCTCCCACTTCATCAGCTCTAAAGTCGTACCAGACTCTAATTACCTTTGCCACATGCTCAGTTCAACTGTACGGTGTGGCTGTGGGTTTCACATCAGGACTAAGGCGATTCCTGCCTCAGGTCCCCAATCACAAGACTGTACCTGGCCACTTTCCAGCAAATTCAGATGAATCCAGGGATTCCTGTGGAAGCCATTTCATGTATAAAACCTCATTGCATTCAGAACTGTTATTTTCTTTGTCCTCCTCAAAGAGAGTTTATTCTGAACTCCCCACAGCCACTTATCATGGCTTGTGGAGAAAGGCCCAGAATTCTCAGTCACGGTTACCATGGGTCCTGCCCTCCTACTTTGCAAACCGCCCCCTACTTGCCAGGGTTGCTCGCTGCAGCCAGGTGCTGAGATGTGACTATGTCTTGCTCTAGATTGCAGCTGGACAGTCTATGCATCACATATGCATTTTCTCCTCTAGGCCAGCAGACCCTGGAAGGCTCTCTACCTTCCAGGTCCCAGTCATGGATCCTGAAAATTTTTAAATATCTAGACACGCCAATTTGACCATGAGAAACAAGAGGGCTCTCTCTAACCCACATTGGGCTGCCATTTCTACCCAATTTCCACCCATTGCAGTAATGAAGGAAAGTTTCTTTGCAAGGCTTGTCGGATTCTAGTATTATCTCACAGAAGGGTGGTATCATTCTTCTTCTTCCTGAACCTCAAAACGCCAAAGGAGTTCTCTGTCAGCCTTCCACATCTTATAACAAACCGTCTCCATCTTTCCTCCGTTTACCCAGATGAAAGGGTCCACTTCCTAAATATGCCGGTGAAGGGGGTTGGTTTCAAGTCAGTGCGCTGGTACCCTCTGCCCGCCAGACTCATGAATCACCCAAGGGCAGACAATGCCCAGCAAGTGCTTCATACACGGCCACCACTAGCACAATCCATGCCTTTGCGCAGATTATAAAAAGGTATCTCCTCTGGGTTGGAGAACCAAAAATGATGCCCCTTCCCCACCCTAGGGCTCCAGGGCCAGGCTTAATGGGGGCACTCCCACAGCCCGCTGACCCAGGCTGGGCATGGGCCAGGTTTCTCTGCACTCTTCCTCCATGGCGGGGCTTGGGGTGCTGCAGAGACTGCCCACAGTCCTCCATTCACGCCCAAGGGAGTGTGGATCCTTACAACGCTGCTCACACAAAAGCTTTGACCCACCTAAACTTCCCGGTGTGGCTCATACTCTACAGAAGTGCATTTGCCTGCAAGTTGCTTTTGGTTGCGAAAGAAGTGGGGAGTGCGCGCGGGGTGGGGGCGGGGGCGGCACGGAGATAGTGTAATGTAATTAGGTTAGACTTGCCAAAGAGTCAACCTTTTTTTTAAAGATTTTATTTATTTATTTATTTGAGAGAGAGAGAGAGAAAGCACAAGCAGGGGGAGCAGCAGAGGGAGAGAGAAAAAAGTAGACTCCCCACAGAGCAGGGAGCCCGATGCGGGGCTCGATCCCAGGACTCTGGGATCATGACCTTAGCGGAAGGAAGACACTTAACCAACTGAGCCACCCAGGCACCCAAGAGTCAAAGTTTTGATGTTGTTGACGACTGTGTCCCTTTTAGGGAGGCATCCTGGCCTAGAAAGGATGCAAAACTGAGTTAAAGGAGTTTGAAGTTGAATGCCGGTTCTGATGCTTAGAGCAGGATCACTTTTAGAGCCTCTAGCTTCCTTCACTTACAGTGGGGATAATGTTAGTATCTCTCTCCTGGGGTTCTTGTGCAGATTAATGATGAAAATATAAGAAGGGCACTTACTGCCCTTTAAATCCTTAGGCACCTAAAATTGTTTTTCCTTAAATATTATCATCCTGCAGTTATGTGCTTCTACAACTGAATTATCTAACTCTACAATGCATACATGCACAATATATCTAACCAGGTATTCAAAGTCTCACTTTGAGGGATTCTTATAAACCACTTATGGTTATTTAGCTGCCCATTGGCAGTAGGGGGCAGCAGTGTAGGTAGGTTTCTTATGAGCCATAATGACACCTGTTGCCTTTCAAAAGTCCAGAGCCCATGTCATTGGGCAAAGGAGTACGCACTCTTGCAGAGTACACTCCTTTCTTCTGCCTTCCAGAAACCTGTCTTTGAAGGCCATTCCCTGGGTATACCAAAACGGTACACAAGACTGATTCTTGTTTATCTTTTTGTAATTTTGGATTTATTTGTTGAGATTTTGTTATTTAAATGTGTGTTTCTCTTTGCGTTGAAAGAATGTTCAATATTGGTGAGCTAGAGTTGTTGTTTTCTATTGCGTTTCACTTTACTTATGTGTTAATGTTGTATTCTTAGCCACAATTTAATATATTTAAGAGAAACAAAAAATCAGTTATTGAATACGTAATAAGACAATGATCATGCTACGTGA